GGGTTGTAAACTGAAATGTCTCAAAGTAGGCAAGTGACAAACAGTATTTAATGGTGGGGGTCTGTGACCTAAAGACAAGAAGAACGACCAAACCAAACCAAACCAAACTGAAACGCAAACCCTGTACCAGCGAGATAGAACATATCTGCACATTTCCGAATGGAGTTGCCCTTGAATGCCAGCTCCTTCATTTCACAGATGGGAAAATCAGGGCTGAGTGAGGGGAAGGGGCATGGCCCACATGAGCTGGCTAACTACGAGTCTCTCTTTTTTTGCATTTCTTTTCTTTGTTCTGATCACTGACACGGGCCTGATGCTGTCTGTCTCCTTTCCAGAATCACATTTACACTATCTCACTGAATCCTTCTAGCAACCCCATGCAGTAGTTATAATCTCCGTTTAATGGATGACATGCCTGAGGTTCAGAGAGGTTAACTCACTCACCCCGAGTCACAGAATCCACAAGTGCCCGAGCCTGGCGTCAGATGCTTCCCCAGATGACATCCTCGTTTGATTTTCAGTGCATGCTCTGCCTTTCAACCTGGCTGCACTTGACCCAGTTCAGCGTCGGAGACCTTGTCACTGAGAGGGTGCTACAAGTCAGAAGGCTACCAGTTCTGATGCCACCTCCTCTGTGAAGTCTTCCCTGATACCTCCAGTCACCCATCCGCAGCAACATTTCACCTCTACCTCTCTTGTCGAGACTTCAAGCCTGGTATAGGGTTTGTTTGGTGCCCACTACCCGACCAGACTGCAGGCTTTGTCAGAGCAGGGCTCACACTTTAATCCGAGCGCCTGCCCTTGGGGCCCGGCACTGGGTCTGCCATTTAACACTCACCATCACACATTTGACAAATGTGCTGACGTCTGCCGCAGAACCACACATAACTGCTGCTTATCTTTGGCTGATCATTGGTAAATACAACTATGCCAAGATCCATGTCTGCTGAACCCTGTCAGCTACACTTTTATTGGGGACTCAGGGGCATTTTCTGTCGATAGATCCTTTTCGTTTGATAGACTCATGTGGATTCAATTTTCCAGCATTGCAGGGTCCTGCTCATCATTCTACTTCCCTAGGAATGGACATGAGAGCAGCATAAACATACGTAGGACTTGCAAAGGTTGGGAGGGGGCTGACTTGGCTGCTGAAATGAGCCCAAACCAATGGCTTTAGTGAAATCAATGATAAGTAGACAGGGTTTATTCGCCCCTGTGATTACCTGGTTCCTAAAGTTATACCCATTAGGTCAATTTAAAAAGGAATTTCCTCTCTGAAAGGACAGACGGATCAATCAAAGGGGCTAATGCCCAACATTAGATGAGGACTCGGGTCTTAATGCATGGCAAGGTCAAGGTGGGTGGAATCACGCTCAGTCTTTCCTGAACAGTTTGTCCAACCTATGATAAACCAGGAAAGAGATGGAATTAAATTTCCTTTCAGTACAGAATCTATGGGGATTCTTTACACTGAAGTAAATGTGGCGTTATCATAAACAGGCACTGGGCAAAGAGCCAGGACACTGAGGTTCTATCCTAGCATTGACAATACCGTGCTGTGTGACTTTCTGCAAGTCATGTACCTTTTCTGGGCTTTGGGTTCTCCTGCTGTAAACTAAGGGTACTGGACAAGAGCTGAGGGCATTAGAATCTCATGGAGAAATCTTGTTAAAAATACAGAAACTTCAAGTCTCCCCTGGGGACATTGATTCATTAGCCCTGGGGTAGGACCTGGTGTCTCTGCTTTTGACCAGTTCTTTGTGGATTCTGACGTTGCTGGTCCACTGGGCTGATGTTTGGCATCTGCCAGATTAGATATACCCCAAAGCTATCCTGTATTAGAATGAGGGCAATGGTCATGTTGATGGTTGTTGCAGCTTTTGTGTTGTTAACTACATAAACCCACACTGACCGGTGGTGGGAAGCATGCCCCTTTACGCAAACTGACCAGATGAAAATTGCTCTCGGAACGCCAAATTCAACTGCTGAGTATTCTGACTGCTCACAGGAAAAAGCCCCAGTTCTAATGGTCATGATTGCTGCCTGCCCCTCTCAACCACATTCCAAGGCTCACCAAGGTATGCACAGACCGAAGAACCTGAGTGACAGGCAACCTAGTGAGTCTTGTCATAAGACACTCCAGAACATACACCCAAGAAGGCAGCACAGCCAGACCTGTGTGTGTTCACAACACCCAGATGAACTGACCCCCAAGTCTTCCTGCATCCTAGGAAATTAACACCCCCACCAGTGGGTGGGAAAGTTTTTGGATAACTCTCCAGTTGGTACCTTGGACAGCTCCCTGCGGCTCAGCTGCAGAGACCCTCAGACAGCAGCCTACCCAACTATACTACCCCTAGCCTCTCAGCCTTTCTGGTGAGGTCCTTCCCCAGGGAAGATAGAGCCTTTGCTGGGGCTGGGGGTGGGTAGGGAGGGCTGGCTTTGGCCATTTGGGGAAAACAAAGAGGCAGGAAGAGCAAGCAAACGGCAGGCTGATCTAGAAACCACGTCCACACTACCGGCCCCAAATGGTACCACAGAAGACTTCCCTTCTGGGTTCTCTTTCTTCTATAATCACCAATCTTGGCATGAAAGTATTGTTCCCAGACCACCTTTCACATACGTTATCACAAAATCTTCAAAACAACCCCTTGTGGAAGTTATTGTTCTCATTTCGCAGATAATGGAACTGAAGCTCAGGTAGGTTAAGTGATCAGCCAGGGGCCACACAGCCAATGGAGTGAGCTAAGCTTGGCTTCAAGCAGGGGTCCTTACCAGATCTCTCTACTATGATGCTGCCTGCTCTTTCCCTACATGGCTGGGCCTTTGGGGGAACTCACAATTTCTGGAGACACAGTCATGTCCCTGACTGTTGGCGTGGCCTCCAGCCGTGCAGACGTAGCAGGAAATGAGGCTGTGGGTGCTGAAGCAGGAGCACAGACTGCTTCCGTGCCCAGATGTGGCAAAACCCCCCACATTAAGAAACTAAAAACTGGGACTGAGGTCTCCAGCTGCGCCACTTACCAGGTAGGTGGCTATGAGTGGGTCACTTGGCTTGCCCTGCCTCAGTTTCCAAAGTTGCAAAATGGGATTCAGATCGCTGTGCTGGTGACCTGGGGAGGTTTGAAAAGTATTCCTGGGGGTGTTCCAAGGATACCTTGTGTGTAACAGCACCTTGGAGACGGCACAAAGTTGTGCACTCTTTCGGGGGCTCCCAGAAACTGGATTGGTGGAAAGGATTGGGGTGGAAAGGACTGGGATGGTGGTGGTGGAAATGGTGGGGCAGAACGACTCCCTTTGGTTACATGCCAAGGCTTCTCAAATCTGAGATCCTGAGGGCAGAGGAGAATGGACATGACTGCTTCGGGCTGGGGCACAAGAGGCCCCTTCCTTGTTTTATCTTAAGTTCAAAATAACAATGGGAGAGGGGTGGGATAGGGAGGGTGGGAGGGAGACGCAAGAGGGAGGAGAAATGGGGATATACGTATATGTATAGCTGATTCACTTTGTTATACAGCAGAAACTAACACACCATTGTAAAGCAATTATACTCCAATAAAGATGTTAATAAAATAAAATAACAATGAGGAAAATCAACGCTCCCTTGCACCTTTGTGAACACAATATGTTTGCCCCAATACCAGTTAGAGAAACGTGGAAGAAAGAGGGAAGTTTTCCCTCATTCCTCTGGGGGACCAGCCTGAGGGGCAGCTGCTTCCTTCTCTCTTCCAAGGTTCTGGATCACCAGAGGCCAGATGATGCGTCCTGGGTGCCCTCCCAGCGCCACACGCATCTCTGCCCAGGGATGCTGTCTCTCACAGTCGTGTGCTCTTCTGGGGCCCGAAGTTGGGGTTTGAGCTGGGCTATGGGAGTACTTTCACGTTTGTGATTTTTTGAGGTCCCCATGACAGTCACACTAGAAAGGTATTGTTTCCCCCATTTTACAGACAAGAGAACTGAGGCTTAGAGAAGTAAAGGGACTAACTTAAGACCACATAGCAAGTAAACGGTAAATCTAGGATTAGAACCCAGTGGTATCACTCCAAAGCTGCCTTCCCTCGCTCTACTGCCTTCGGGGCGCGCGCCTCTCCTTTCTGCGTGCCGCCCGAGACGGCGCAGTCTGAGCGAGCCCTCCGGCCACAGTGCCCTGGGGATGGAGGCGAGGGTCTGTAGGTCTCTAGAGCACAGTTTGGAGAACCCTGTCCGGACTCTCGGGCCCAAGGACCCCTCGGCTGGCTCTGGAAGTTGGATCTCACGGGGACCCTGTTCCGACCCTTGGCTACCTGGCGGTAAAGCCACCGCTCGTGGTGCACTGTCCGGCCCCGAATCCCAGCAGAGTGTGCCCCTTGCCCGTCCGGGAGCTCTAGAGTCTCCTTCGAGCAGCAGGCACAACTTTCCTAGGTTCTAGGAGCCAGCGCTCTTGCACCCCAATCCCGCCCGGACGCAATAAGTAAGAGGTGCAGGCGGTCCCGCCGTTACCGGGAGCGCAGTAAGAGCCCTAGTAAAGTTGGAAACCAGGCGGGAGCAGCAACGTTTCCCAGGAGCGAAGCCCTCCCGGCCTCGGGCCCCCCACCGAGGGTGGCGAGCGATGCCAGAGTCCGCCATTACCGCGGGCTCGCGGTGGCCGTGCCTCAGGAGAGCCGGGCACGGAGGAAAGCTGAAAGTTGAGGTTGGGCAGGTGCAACGACCCCCCGGGACTGGCGTCCCCCAGCCTCCGGCTGCCCGCGGTGGGTAGCGCGGGGTGCCCAAAGGGGCCGCCATTACCGCAGCTCCGAGCCGAGCGCGCGGCGGAAGAGGGACACTGGTCCCTGCAAAGTTGGAGCGCGGCGGGCGCGACAACGGCCGGGAGCGGAGCCCCCGGCCTGGGGCTGCCTGCTGGGAGCAGATCGAGGCCGCCGGGACCAAGTTGGGACGCGCGCAAAGCCTGCGCCTCCCCGCGAGCACGGGGGGATCCCTAGCGGCCAGCGAGGGCATGCGGGACGCCTGGGCCGAGAACTCACCTGCTGCCGAGCCGGGCAGCGCCGAGGCTGCCTCTTGCGCTGCGCACCCGCCCGCCCGCCGCCTCCTCCTCCTTTCCCCGGGCGTCCGCAGCCACCGCGCTCCCGGTTCCAGATCCTCCCGGTCGGCCGCCCCGCGCGGCTGGAAGGCGCCGGTCGCACCCACTCACCTCTGGGTAGGAGACGCGCGCATCCCTCCCCCTTCCCCTCCGCTTTGTGCCTCTCTGATCCCTTCCCGCCCCCTCTCCCCGAGCCCCACCCCTCCCAGGTCCCCTCCCCTCCCTCCGCCCCAGCGAACCCAAGTTCGGGACGGAGGCCCTGGGCTTCCCCGGCGCAGTGCCGGGCGCCCTCCGCGCGCCCCTGGCTCACCCCGTCCGCCCGGCAGCCGCTTGCCGCCTGGCTGCCCCGAGGAGCCGCGGGGCTAAGTAGCTCCTCGCCCAGCGGCCGGAAACGCGGCATAAATATGTAGGGACAGAGCCGTGAGCTCAGCGAGGGTCGCGAGGGGGAATTTATTTCTTAATGTCCCTCCTTTATCCTATCATCGCTGAAACAAATTAGCAGTGACGTCCAACCCGGCTGGTTTATGGGTGTGGGGAGGGAGACGTCGCAACCCTCATTAAAAGAGCCGCTCTGGGCTCCAAAGCATACATCTTTTATATAACCCAATTTCCATTTTTTTTTCTATCAGGAAACACACACACACACACACACACACACACACACACACACACACACACCCCGTGACAATTTCTGGGAGCCTGGAGGGGGCTGAGTGTAGCCACAGGGCAGCTCCCTTTGGGCAGAGAGGGCCCCACAGGAGGCAGGGATGGTTATTTCTGCCTCTACATCAGTGCTGGGATAACATTCCCTAATGGGACAGTGGGACACGCTCGGCGCCGCTGGGAGCCCCAATGAGCCTGAGTTCTGAGCCCGGCTCTTGGGTGGGCAGACAGGGAGAGAGGCGGCCGGTTCTGGAAATGTTGCCTCGTTCTGTCTTTCCCTGGAGCAGCGCTTAGGCCTGGCAACTGGAGAGGGGCAAGGATGGAGGGGACAGTCTCACCTGTGGCCTGATAAACCCACAGGTGAGAGAGGCCTTGGGCTGGGCTGGGAGGAGGGGAGGATGCTGGGAAACAAGATCTCCTTCCTTTCTTAGGGGCCCTAACATATGGGTAACCATATAAACCCGGCTCAAAAGCTGTCTTTTCCTGGGCAGATTGCAAAGGATTTTGCATTTCACTGTTGCTGCTGCTCACACACTCTTGGGGAAGTGGGGGAAAACGAAGGAAACAGAGAATTCAGACACACACACACACACACACGCACGCACACACACAGCACCTGGCTCGGGGTGGCTTGATCTTCCCCCTCCCAGCCCTGCTGAATGCAGCAACAAGCCCACTCAGGTGCTGGGTAGCGCAGAGAAGAGGCAAAGAGGAATCCCCCCTCCTGTCACTAATAAATGCTTTTCTAACTGTCTTTCACACCAAGCACCGGGGGAAGGGGGTGTGACGTCGGGGGCAGGAAGAGGGGTGGGGGGATGAGGTGGGAGAGGAAAGAATGAAGACGCTGTTGGAGCAGTGGGCGTGCGGCGGTCTGTTTGTCTTCAACACGCTGAAAGGAAGACGCGAGAAATTCCCTTTCAGCCCCAGGGCTCTGCCACATCCTGACTGTGACACGCGGTGCAAGGTTCAGAGCCTCAGTTTCCCCAGCAGTGAAATGGGCCTGGGATCGTTATGAAGATGCCAACGATGAGGTGATGCTGGTGAAGCTCTTGGCATAGTGCCTGACATATAGTAAATGCTCAGTAAACAGTAGCCCCAAGTAACAATAACCATGATGAGAATAAGTACAGGGACATACATGCTGGATGGGGCGTCCCAGGGAAGCATCCAGCTTGGGCGCAGCTTCCCCTGCCTGAAACATTTCAAAGTTGAGCGCTGGGCTTCAGTGGTATCAGAGTCAGACTCAGAGCACTGCTCCCCTCAATTACCATGGCAACTGGGGAAAATCAGGAAGCCAGAAGAAGAGAATCTGCTCTTCCACTGGGCTGGCCGTTCACCTGCTCCAAACAGCTCCTGTGCGTGCCTGCCCATGTGTGGCTCAGGGCCAGAGGCGGCCCCAGGTCAGGGCGCCTTCTATCCCAAAGCTCTTAATGGGGAGAAGGGTGGCTCGTAGGGGGTGGGCAGCCACAGGATGGTGGGATCAGGGCCAAGGCTGGACTGTGCCCGCAGAAGGCAGAGTTGGCCTGGGTTTGGGGAGAGGGGGACAGAAACCCCACTCCCCCAGTTCTGTCTTCGCCATCAGGTGTCCTGGCACCGTTGAGGGCAAAGCACGGTAATGCAGCTCTCCAGAGGCAGAGATTTGGGAAGACGGGCTTCTGAGACCAGGGAAGGAGCCAGTTACAACCGGAGTCCAGTGTGTGTGTGTGTGTGTGTGCATGTGTGAGAGAGAGACAGAGAGAGACAGAGAGAGAGAGACAGAGACATCAGCAGAGAGAGATAATGAGGAAGAGAGAGGCAGAAAGAGAGGGGAAAGGAAGAGGGAAAGACAGATAGAGACTCCCCTTTGCTTACTCTGGTTCTTTCGCTAGCATTAAGGGGACTAGTAACCATACTAGTTGTCGCAGTGGAAAGGATAACGGCTATCTTGTATTGAGTACCTTTCATTTTGTCAGTCTTGAGCCAAGGATTTTATAGGTATACCGCATTGACTCATCACAGAAATCGTAAGGGATGATTGCTTTTACTTATTCCCATTTTACAGACGGGAAAGTGGAGGCTCTGAGAGGCAAAGTGACTTGCTCCAGTTAATTGGTGGTAAAAACAGCTATTAGAACTCGGTCCTACTGACCCCAAAGTGGGGCTCTTCCTGACTCCCCTTTTGCCTTGTGGAGAAAGAGTGAAGGTGTTGTTGCCGTCTTTCAGGGAGGGTAGGGGAGTGTCTGGGGTTTGGGAGCCCTCCTCGCTTGTGCCAGAGGGCTTCAAAAACTGGTGCTAAAAGACCAGAGCCTCATAGCTATGTGGTGGCCCTCGGACTATGTGGAGGGATGGTCCCCCAAAAGCTCCTCAGGCGTGGTACCCTCTGAAGTCTCTCCTGCTTAAAGGCTGCTTGGGCTTTGCCTCTAGCCTGATTCCACCAGGACCTCCTTGGTGTTCAGGGGAGATGTTGATAATGCCCCCCCCCGCCCCCGCAAGTGCTGTTGAGCTCAACCAGCCGAGACCCATCTAGGGGTCAGCCCAGAATAAGCTCTCCATAAATGGTCATCATGATAACAATCATTCTTGGATCTTCTCTCGGGCCCACACCCTCCATCCCTGTGTGGATGGTGGGTGCGTAAAAGGCTTCTCCCTGCTGAAGAGAGGCCGTCCCCTCTCCCCGCTCTCTGCCACCCTGGACCCTAACCAGTCCCCACCCAGCAGCTTAGAGGTGGGCCCAGGGGAGCAGAGGGCTCTGGCGCAGCCAAGGGGAGGGGAGGGAAGGAGGAGGTTGGCCGATGAGCTGCCACCGAGGGGGTAATACATTATCCAGGGCTAATGAAAACATAATTATCTTCTTTTGGCTGCAGAGAGGGGCTAATTCAATAGGCTGCGATCGAAAGGCATCTGCTGAATTCACCCAGCAGTGAAAACACTTGAAGGGCTTGGGCAGGGTGAGTGGGCAGAAGGCGGCTGGCCGGGCCCTGCAGCTGTGTCAAGGTGGGGGCTCTCCCAGGGGAGGGGGGCACGGGGTGCGGGGCAGAAGCCGAAGAGGGGGTGTGGCAGCTGACAGGTGTCCTCTGAACAGACAGACTGGGGCTACTTCCTCGCCACTAACTTGGGCTGGTCCTTTGCCTGTCTGAGCCTCAACTTCCTCATCTGTCAAATGGGGTTAATACTGCCTCCCTCCCATTGACTAGGAGGAATAGATGAGAAATGGGAGATGGGTCCTGGCACGTACTCAGTAAGTGTTTAACAAAACCTCACCACTCCCCCGCCAGTTCTACTCAGCCTTCAGGTCTTAGCATAAACAACCCCTCTTTGGAGATGCCCCTGCTCTGAGCTCCCACAGCACCCTGCCCACACACCCTGTTGTGTTTCATAACACAACACACTTCGGAATATTTACTGTTTCAGCTGGACTGTTAAGAGCTCCACAAAGGCACGGCGGGTCTGTCTCATTTGTCACTGGAAGCCAGTGCTTCTCAAAGCATGTCCCCTGGACCAGAGGCCTCAGCATGCCCTGAGAATGTATTCAACATGCCACTTCTTGGGTCCTGCCCCAGACCTGCTGAGCCAGACACTCAGACTGGGGCCCAGCGATCTGTGTTTTGCACAAACTCTCTAGGTGGTCCTGATTCACACTTAAGTGTGAGAACCTCTGCTCCAGCCCCAAACCCAAAAAATGTTTGGTGAATAAATGGATGAAGAGCTTACTGGGGTCCAGCTATGTGATGACCTTAACTCCCTTATTAGCCATCAGCTGTACACCGAACTGTGCATTATGTCATTAAACCCTCCCGGCCATATGCCCTTGTCCACCCCTTGTCACCCCACACACAGCTCCATCCCCAAGCAATGCCCCTTGGTCTGCTGTTCCTTCCTGAGTTGGAGGCTCACAGGGGTGTTGGAAGACCCAGGGGTGCCTCTTCTGTGTCCCCCCTGCTCCCACTACACATGGCTCCCCTTCCCCCAAGTAGTCCCTCACCCCTCTCCACCCTAGCCCACCCTACCCACCCAGGTCTCCTGATTCTGGAAAAGAATTCAGCTTTCGATCCTGCCCCTGGGTTCTTGGCTGGGGAAGTCGGTCAGATGTGCTTGTGAAGGATTGAGCCCGTGGGTCAGTCTTGAAAAGTTAGAGAGGCCCAGCACTGTGGCAGAGCCCTTGGAGATGGTTGTCCCCAACCCTGGCGTTTTACACATAGGAAGGTCAAGGTCCAGGGAGGTTTGGCAATTCATCCAAGGGCAACAGCCTGTCAGAGGCCCATCAGATCCCTGTCATGGCTCCCAGTTCAGGAGTCACCACTGTGGCCCTGGGGAGGCGGGGTGTCTGGGAGATGGCAGGCCAGAAGGGCCAGGGCA